AGCGTGGGGTCCCTCCCATGGGAGACAGTCCTCCATGAACTTCTCCAACGTGAGTCCTTCCCACGGGCTGCAGTTCTTCACGAACCACTCCAGCGTGGGTCCCTTCCACGGGGTGCAGTCCTTGAGGAACAGACTGCTCCAGTGTGGGTCCCCTGTGGGGTCACAAGTCCTGCCAGCAAACCTGCTCCAGCGTGGGCTCCTCTCTGCATGGGTCCACAGGTCCTGCCAGGAGCCTGCTCCAGCACACGCTCTCCATGGGGTCACAGGCTCCTTCAGGCATCGACCTGCTCTGGCATGGGGTCCTCCATGGGCTGCAGGTCGATATCTGCTCCACCATTAACCTCCATGGGCTGCAGGAGGCAGCCTGCCTCACCATGGTCTTCACCATGGGCTGCAGGGGAATCTCAGCTCTGGCACCTGGAGCACCTCCTCCCCCTCCTTCTTCACTGAGCTTGGTGTCTGCAGGGTTGTTTCTCTCACATACTTTCACTTCTCCCTCTGGCTCCAGTTGCTGTTGCACAGCAACTTTTTCCCCTTCTTAAATATGTTATCACAGAGGCGCTACCACCGTCACTGATGGGCTCAGCCCTGGCCAGCGGTGGGTCTGTCTTGGAGCCGGCTGGCATTGGCTCTATTGGGCATAGGGCAAGCTTCTAGCAGCTTCTCACAGAAGCCACCCCCATAGCCCCCCAGCTACCAAAACCTTGCCACGCAAACCCAATACATCCGCGCAGTTGTTTTTTGCTGAAAACATGTTTTCCAGTGGTAGGTGGTTAGCGTCAGCACCAAGAGAATTCAGATTTCTCCATATCTGAATCTGGAGAGATGGCTGGAGGTGAGGGAAGGGGTGAAGGAGGGAAATCCTCCATGTTTGACTCTGCTTTGCCTCTGCCCTGCATCTCTGCAGCTCCTACGACTGCCTCCTGGATGACCCCTTTGAGCACCAGTGGCCCACGTTACCCAAGCTGCCGGGCATTAACTACTCCATGGATGAGCAGTGCCGCTTTGACTTCGGTGTGGGCTACAAAACGTGCACGGCGGTGAGTATGGAGCCAATACAGGTTGTGTTGCCCATATTGCCCCCCTGGACCTCTAGCCAGGTGCTGCGGGGGTGAGGAGGGGTGCCACCAGCCTGCTGGGGCACCCCGCTGCCGTCCCGGCCCAGCTCCTCTGTGCTCCCCAGTTCCGCACCTTCGACCCCTGCAAGCAGCTGTGGTGCAGCCACCCGGACAACCCCTACTTCTGCAAGACCAAGAAGGGGCCACCCTTGGATGGGACCGAGTGCTCTCCAGGCAAGGTAGGGGCTGGTCCTGCCTGATCCTCCCTTCGAAGGGGATGGGGACACCCTTGAGGGCAGCAGTCGGTGGGTGCCTAGTTTTTAGCTTGTGTTACTCCTTATTTTCCCCAGTTTGTGCTCAGATGAGGACTTTGTTTTTCTTCTGGTCTGCCTGCTTCTGCAGAGAAGCAGGACTTGTTTTGTCACCTGGCAAAAGAGTGATGATGTCATCAGGCTTTTACTTTAGGCTCTCTTAGCATGCCCGTTAGCACAATATGAAAGCGTGGATATGTTGGAGAAGCTGCTGGCCCATGTAGTTTTTGGGTGGTTCTTTGCTGGAGAATGGACGGGCGTAAAGTAACCAACAACTTTTGATAAGTGTCTGTATAAATCCCAGCAATCTTGCTGAAAATGCTGCCTCCTCTAGTGCTTGAGTGACGGTTTGCCAAAAGCTTCCAAAATGAGGCTTTTTGAATCGTGTGCAGATGTGTCACACGTTGTGCTGGCATGGGGCTCCAGAGGGCTGCAACGTCTGGACTGGGAGGTCCTTCCTTCAGGCCTGTGATGGGCACAGGCTGGGCTTTTCCCCAGGGCTGGAGTTAAACCCTGGGTCTGGGTGCCCATGGGGTGACACCGCAGCTTCGTACCAAGCGTTGTGTGCCTGCCTGGGAAGAAGTGCGGAGCTCTGGATTTCATTTGCCAAAATGCAAATGTTTGGGTTCATCCCCCCTGTGCCAGTGGGGAGACATCCCCAGGGCTGATCCAGACCCGGAGCCAGCTGTAATTCAGTGCCTGCCTGAGGATCTGCATGGGTAGGGAGAGGCAGTTTGACCGGAGAGAGAAAACCAGTCCAGGAACTCAAAAAT